ACGGTAGTCGAATCACGACAGTGCAGGATGGAAGCTTGACACACTAACCACTCGGCTACACTGCCACGAGTGCACTTGGGTCACAGGGCAAATGTGAATTTTATGAAAGGCCAGGCCTTTTGTCATATCATATTCTTTTGGTGGAATTGTCGATGAAGCAAACGTATATCTGCTATAATAATCGACTACTATACTTTTATTTTTCGAATTAATTATTTTTTTCGTAACTACCAGTAAATCAGTAATATGAGAAAACAATACTTGATTTGAAAAATAAAAGTATAGTAGTCGATTATTATAGCAGATATACGTTTGCTTCATCGACAATATCACCAAAAGAATATATGACAAAAGGCCTGGCCTTCCTTGAAATTCACATTTTCCCTGTGACCCAAGGGCACTCGTGGCAGTGTAGCCAAGTGGTTAGCGTGTCAAGCTCCCATCCTGCACTGTTGTGATTCGACTTCCACTAAGGGTCTTGATAAGACCGATGCGAGGTTGAAACTGCAGTCCATTGGTGCCTGGATGAGAACAACTTTTGGGAAAGCAAGTCTATGTGAAATTCAATGGAAACGTCAGCTTAACTGATATCATTGTGGGAAAATTCTTCTTCTACCAGTCCTTCATTCCCTTAAACAAAATTGGGTGAATACATCTCAACCATAGTTACTTATCCCATTCATTCTTTTTATCTGGATCATTAAGCCTTAATGACTCGAAGCTGACGCTAGGCTTTGTTCAAATTACTTTGAGTTATGGCTGGAATTGTGTACAGACCTTAGCACACACACACACATAGATAAACTAACTGTATCAACCTATACATAACATGTATGACAGAGGCGATTAGTCTTCTTAACTTGATACTTTTGTAAGGATGAATCGCGTCATATGATGAACGAAAGCTCAGCCCATTTTCACTCAAAATGAAGGAAAATTTCCCGTGGACTGCATCAACCTAAGAGTCGTATTAAAGCCAACCAATATCCCATTGCAAGTCCCTGCACCACACACTTCCAAACGAAATAGAAGTGAGCTTATTAATTATAAACCAAGGATTCAATCGAAGGTATAAAGACTAAGATAGTGTGGCCTGTAGTATTGTCGTATTCTCCTTTCGAAGTATATAAGCGACTTTACCTTGTTTTCACAACTTGCTCGTATTGTCAGGAGGACATAGAGGAATGCGCCTTGACCGAAGACCCATGATGACTTCCAGCAGCGAAAAATGGGCTTGGTAAATTCCCAGACATTTCACCAGCATAGTAGTCGACCTGATAAGAATAGTAAGGCTCATCGACGATCCCTGCGAAACGTCTGGAAATATACCAAATACATGGTCCGGTGCTGTAAATTATCATGAATACCATTGTCTCCGGTAAAGTTGCGTTCCTCTAGGTCACCCTGGTAATACGACCTAGCTGCGTAAACAAGGTCAAACCATTTTCATAAACCAAGAGATTCTTCGTAACCCATAAATTTATATTATTGTTTCAAGCAGCCTCATATGGATTCAAAAAGCAAACTTTGAAAAGGGGTAACTCGCCTGAGAGATCTTTTTCTCCAGCATGTCAACTTTGGCCAAATCCTTCGTCAGACGGGCGTGATCGACGAGTAGACCGGCAGCAGTTGCCTCCGATTTGGTGAATTCGGCCGATTTAAAATTTGCCTGCTCTTTCATTCGTTTCACATCCAATTCGGGCTGTCCACCAGTTTCACCCACGGCTAAGGTGGCACTTGAGGCAGCCGTGATCGAACTCACGAGGCTAGGGGTCTGTTCGGCGTTAACCAGGTAACGTGCGGTCACCTCCAGAGTTTGCATGATCTTGCCCTCCAGTTCGCTGAGATGTGACATCTCAATAACCTATGCGAAATAGCAAGGAGTATGTAATGATAAGTTGGGATGTAGCGTCAAACTCGGTACTCATCAGGCTTGACTAACAAGAAGGCGATGAACAGAATAGCCCATGAAGACTGAAAGTTCCCAATGAGTATTACCAGTCCAATCTAATTATATTTTGAGCAGCCAAAAGTCACCTCTTTTTTTATCGCCTAAGAGACATATAACATGAATCTATGCACCATTGAATAAATGCAAAATATATGGGCATTTCATAAAATGTTACGAATATAATATATTACTGCTAACCTTGATGTCATTAAAGGTTTTGAAAAACTCTTCCATCTGCTGTTCTCGCTTCTTTAGCTCCCGAAACTTTTGGCCCCGCTCGCTGCGACTCTCCTCCAGTTCTTGCTCAATCAACTGCAGTTCATTTTCACGGTGCACGATCTTCTCATGGAGGTCCCGAGTTCTGATTCACATTTTAAATATAATGGTTAATGAAAGGCAGCATGAGCGTTTGCAATGTTCGAGGGATATACATTTTTTAATCGAAGGTATGTAGACAAAGATGATGTGGCCTTTTGCATGGCCGCAGTCTCTTTTCTTTGTATACAAGTTGTTTGACCTTGTTTTCGCAACTTTACGTTATTGATAGGAAAACCTAGAGGAACGCACCTTGTCCAGAGCCCATCGTATGCATGAAAATTTCCAGAGTAGGGCCCTGGACGTAGTACATTCTCAGACGTTTTGCCGGCGTCGTGAGTGAGCCTTGCCAGTCTTAGCACCACACTACAACTCGTCTAAGAGACAAGGGAAGCTGATCCTTTGACCAATTGTGATAACTCTCCTTCTGCCCTGGACTATTCACTAATCCTATATTCTCTTATCATCCCTTCACACTCGCAATTTCCCTATTGCTTATTTAAATGTGGCAAGGTGTACCCTTTTGAACGGATTTCATGAGAACTCTCCACACCCCACCCTGGCTTTCTTACCCTCGCATCTCCTTCACCCTTGTGCTGGGAATTTTGATCAGAGTCTGCCATAGTATTCCGCAATCCGCTTCCCATAGGTATTATCAGACTCTCTCTTTTATCAAGTATGATCCGCCTCCTACCTTTCAGGTTCAGGTATTTCACTTGACCCTGCTACCTTGTACTACTAGTGTACTACTCGAAGCGTTATTTTACACACTGTCTCAAGCCTTTGATTGCATGCATTCTCCCACCTAGCAGAGTGGGACCTAATCAAAACAAATAGAACCAAAACATTTGTAGGTTGGTACAGAAGAGACTAGAGCATAGGAAGTCATAGACTTGGCACTATGGATAGAAGCACTATGGATGCGGCGGAGACTAGAGCTAGTTGGCTAGATCTAGCAGTAGACGTGTTTGATTACAGACGTGGTTAATGAAGCAAAGGTTTGACCACGATAATCACTCGGGACTTTTAACTTCAAATTAGTCTCATATCCAGCTTGAGAATCCTGATTTTACGAGCTTACTCTGCAAGGTGGGAGTAAGCATGCCATCAAAGGCTTGAGACAGTGTGTGAAATAACTCTTAGAGTAGTACAGTAGTAGTACAGGGTAGCAGGGTCGAGTGAAATAGCTGAACCTGAAAGGTAGGAGGCGGATCCTACTGGACAAAAGAGAGAGTCTGATAATACCTATGGGAAGTGGATTGCGGAATACTATGGCAGACTCTGATAAAAATTCCCAGCACAAGGGTGAAGGAGATGAGAGGGTAAGAAAGCCAGGGTGGGGCGTGGAGAGTTCTCATGAAATCCGCTCAAAAGGGTGCATCGTGCCACATTTAAATAAGTAATTAAAAATTGTCATAGTGAAGGAGTGATAAGAGAATATAGGATAAGTGTATAGTCCAGAGCAGAAGGAGAGTTACCACAATTTTTTAGCAGACAATTAGTCAAAGGATCGCCTTACCATGTCTCTTGGACGAGTTGTATTGTAGTCCTAAGACTGGCAAGGCTCACTCACGATGCCGGCGAAACATCTGAGAATGTACCACGGCCACGCCTCTACTCTGGAAATTTTCATGCATACAATGGACTTCAGACTAGGTGAGTTCCTCTAAATTATC